TATATTCTCAGGACGTGTGTGCTACCTATGTCACTTGCAGCTTTACCATTCAAGACTAAGAGCAGAGCAGGTTTTATCTTCAGAAAAGCCCCACAGTGGCATGTCTGTGGACTTACAACGGTAGAAACCGGGTTTCGATAACCGTAGTGAGCAGAGCACAGATAATCCATTCTGTAGCTTTGTGCTTAATTACAAACAAACAATCTTCAGAAAATTACGAAGTAACAAAGGCAGCTAAAACGAAAGAACTTAATGATTTGCTTGACCAGACATACACAGAACAACTAATAAATTTAGAATAATACTATATAAAAGAGAGAAACTCGTGGAATGAATATATAGACCATATATTTCCTCTCCAGTACAATTAATTCACTCAACTTTCTACTTTTCAAAATTAATTTATAGAAAACAGCGTTTAAACTTGAAATGTGCTAGAACTTTTTATGCTGCATGAAATTTATACAGTAAACCAGACCAAAAAATAAAAATTTTTCACTCAAAACACTTAATTTTAATCTGTGGCTGAACTGTAATTCTGAGTGCTTATAACGCTCAAAATCGAATTTGACTACCCACGGTAGAGACAGCACACCGTGTAACTTTGTGCTTAAAAACAAACAATGCTTACAACAATGCTCTATGGGGATTTGAATTAAAATTTCTTTTTAAATATGCATAAAACGAGCTTAAATTTATTGGAGAGGACAGCAGTGAAAATAATTTTTGAAATCACAGTATAATTGCTTTCACTGAATTTAAACGTTTTTCAAAAAGAAAGTAAAAAAACAAAAACAGATCTTCAAGCCAAATAATTTCATTTGCAGAACTAATGTATAGAAATATACAAGTTTTAAGAAAGTTATCAATATTTGAAAAATATCCCCGAACCCCGGCATTTAGTTCTAATTTTCATAGTATTTTATTTCAATTAGAAATTGGTGTGCATGTAGCGTGTTGTTTTTCTTTTGACTTGCTAATATACGAATTTCAAATTAGTAAGTTAATACTACAGTAAGCTGATCAAAGGATGGTATTGACTGAGTGAACGCTTTGGAGGAACGTTTGTTTTATGGTCAAAAGGCGGGTTTGTGGGCCTGAATTGCTTATACTTTGCAAAATTTTGTGTCAAACTGCATATTGTGAATTGTCTTTGAGTGTAAGAATAAATTAAACAATGAATCCACTATATCAGGATATAGCAGCTGCGTTTGTACAGTCGTACTATTTACATTTCGATGATAATGAAAAACGATCGACCATGGCCAGTTTTTATGATGTGAGTGCAACTAGTCTTAACATTTATTAGGCTTAAATGTACTCGGCCTTAGGTTTAGTGAAATACGGTGGAACAACTCTACCGGATTTCAGCCCTGCCCTTCGTAATTTCAACGTGTCTTCATCAGTAATATTAATAATGTAACGTAGCATTAGTACTAGTATCACTCCAGTTTTGATTGAATCAAATTGATTATTTGCCATACGTTATTTTACTTTTAGCTAAAATTTAATCTTGTTTAGTTATTGGTAAACTATAAAACAGGATAAACATTATATGTTCACGAAAATAATTTAAATAAAGACTACCTATTCAAGTTGTTGTCACTTCTCATTTTAAATTTAAATGAAAGATCAACAAAATTAAACTAATCTTTAAAGACATACTTAATTTAATGAGAAGATAAGGTGGTGATAAAATGTAATACACTTTAGTTTAACATGAGGCTTAACGTTTTCAATAGGCTAATTGTATTTAGTATTGATTATTTATCCTTTGGCTACATTGGTTAAAAGTACTTTAAATTTTAAGTAGTGTAATTCAGTACTAATTGTTAAGTGCTCAGTTAGTTACTAATGTTATGTGTTCAAATTCGATGACGAGGAACCCACTTTGAGACTAATAATGGCTGGAGACGGCTTAAATGGGTAATGAAGAAAAACTTTAATATAAGTTTAACATGACAGCAAATTTACAACGTTTCGACAAGGTTTTGTCATCATCAGGGACCTGGTGATGACAAAAACTTGTCAAAACGGTGTACATTTTCTGGCATGTTTAACTTATATTAAAGTTTTTCTTCATTACCCATTTAAGCC